AGCATGAAACTGAGCAAACTCAGGGAGGCAGTGAAGGACAGGAAGCCCTGGCGCAATATGGCTTATGGGGTCACAAAGAGTCGGACACGACTTAACGACTAAACAACAACAACAACAAAGGACTGTGTTTCACAAATCATTCTTCACTGCTTAGTCTACACTAAATTAATTCTGGTTTATTTAACATACTGTCATTAAAGAAAAACAGCTGATCAAAACTGAGGTGGTCACATGAGTCCTCCATTTTGCCTCTATTGTGACTACTGAATCCTTGATGAGTGCTTGTCCATCTTAGGTTTGAGACTTGATTCTAAAGACACTTTTCTGAATGGATGAATCTACAAGATGTAGTTTTACTTTCTATAAAATAAGTCTAAAGTTTCACATATTTCTTAAGGATTAAAATATTCCGCCTTAACTTGTGTTGAGACTTCTTCAGCATTTCAACAGTACATCTACAATGTAGGTTGAAGGAAATTTAGAAAGTCAGGGTATTTCATGGTTCTTTTATCATGCAGGCTATGCAAATTCAGTGACAGCTTCCTGTTCAAAGGAGCCATATCACCCGGCTCTCCTTCTACACCCAGCAGCACAAAGTTTGGGTGATTGTCTGAATGTTTTCCCATCAGTAAGACTCCTCTGATCTTTAGAGTGAACAAAAATGACACTCTGGATAAACCTCATATTATTTTCAATACTCCTCAGAGGTATTATTTTTCCCTTCCAAACAGAAGTCTTTTATCCCCTTTTTCGTGTTTCCCCGCAGAGGTTCTTATTAAACAATGTTTCCTTCTAGGTATCCAGTCGGAGGTCCAGTTGGTGGAGTCTGGAGGGGATGTGAGAAGACCTGGAGATTCCCTCCATCTCTCCTGCCAAGGCTCTGGATTCAGCTTCAGCAGCTATGGCATGAGCTGGGTGAGACAGTATCCTGGGAAAGGACTGGAATGGGTGGCAGTCATATGGTATGATTCCAGTAATAAATACTACTCAGACAAAGTCAAGGGACGCTTCACCATCTCCAGAGACAATGCCAAAAGCCAGGTGTATCTGCAAATGAACAACCTCAAGCCCGAGGACACAGGACGCTATTACTGTGCAAGAGACACAGTGAGAGGAAGTGAATCTGAAGCCAAGCAAAAACTGCCCGTTCCTCAGAGCTGCTCTGTGAGTTTATCCATGAACCACAGCTTCAACTGGTACACTGAAATTGTGAAGAATCATCCAAAAAACAAAACAAAAAAGGAGCACAAAAAGTTACTCTCCTGAAAAGAACACACAAACACATAAAATCTAAAACCCAGACAGAAAATCTCCTTTATTTAGAGCTGCTTTCCTGGTTGATTTTTCCATACTTTTGGATTGTGGACTTCATGGATAATATAAGAGAATTCTCCCCAGGGTACCTTTAAGCTGGTGAGCAGGACACGTTGGCATTGAAAAGGAAATATGTTGTTTGCAGGAAAGACAAAGGTAAAGGGGGGTGGGGGAGAGGAGATAGTCCCTAATTATCCACTTCGGCAAATGAGAAGATACAAGTGGTGGGGAAGAGCAAGAAGACATTGGCATTGACTGTAGCACATCATAGATCAAGTGAGGCCCGTGTGGAGGACCACGGAGGGAACAGGGGCCCTGAAAGAACAAAGCGGCCAAACTCCATGAACAGAGTTACATGCTAACACCATCCTTGCTTGTCTTCTTTCTGCTTAGAGTCCAGCTTCTATTCGCAAAGGAAATCACCCAGTGGTATAGGAAGAGACAGTGTGGCTTTCTCTTTTTCTTTCAGCGAACAATTTTCTTTCCCTCAAATACCCAGATTTGGAGGGATGGTGGATTTTCTTAGTTTTTTTTCATGTTTTTCTGCTATAATGCAGCCAAAGTTTTTGGGTGGTAGGAAATAAGAAAAAGATGTAGGAGTACTCACAACAAAGAGGATGCCCAAAGTAGGCAGAGAGAGAGATATTTCTGGGAGAACTGGATATTTAAAAAAAAGAAATTTAAATTACACTACATATTAAATAAAAAGAGAATGTTTTCAAATTATGTCTCATACTACTGAAAACCACAGTCATCCAGTGAAAATAAAGGAGAGGTGATATAGTAAGGATTATTCCCACTCCAAAATAACAAAGGAGCAGCATGAGAGGGAATCTTTAAAAATTAATAGTTGCCATCTGTATTTTCTATGAGGAAACCGAGAATGAAGGAAGAACAGAGCAGCATTGCGTGACTCTGCTAAAGTAGCCCTGATCTCCTTTAGACTATAAGGCCTGATGATTCCATTCAAAGGATGAAAATAAGAGGTTTGCCCTCTGCAAACCCTCCAGACTAGTGACCTTTCCAAGCCTATTTCGGATGAGAAAATGAAAGAGCAGCTTGGCTTTCTCACTATATCTGCTGTGACCTTCTTGAGCTGAGTCACGTCTTCCCAGACTCACTTCCTTTCTAGCAATATGAGCATTTCCCTGGAGAACCAGGCCTGCTTCGGCTCATTGTGCACACCAGGGAGCAGTTTTGTCCCACAGAATCCCATTAGCTATGGGGGGAGTGGCAGGACAATGAAACAAGGATTTCCTGATGGGCTTTCAATTTTGAGGCTGATTATTCCCTTGGTTGGTGGCTTGAGATGGTCCCCTGTTAGTATCACTCCTCAAGAACCTGCTGTTCTCTCCAGAAACCCAAGGATGAGTTCGCTATAGTCCTTCTCTCTTGACCATAACACTAACTGAATTTTTAGGAGACCACAAGGTGACCTATTCGACTTTTTCAGATAAAATGTTTGGTCATAAAGCGATTTCTTGGTTTTATTTTGTGACTTGCAAAGATACAGTCCTTGTTCTTTAGAAATGATTCTTGGTTGTGTAGCCTGTATCAAATTAATTTTGTTGGCAAAAAGAACCCATGGTAGTTTATCAATAATGGGTGAACGGTCATATTTTCTCCCACTCTGTCCTTAATGTGCCCAATAAATAACTTTGGTGTCTGTGCATTTTAGTTTTGAGTTTTGATTCTACAAACACTTTTCTGAGTTTGATGAAATTAATCTTTCATGGGTGTTTCTGCATGATGGTTTTGAGTCTGGATTCTAGAAGCATTTTTCAGAGTTTACGTTTTTGAAAGAAAAAGCTTCACCCTTAAAAATCTGCACCTCTTTGTATAACAATTTGATGGGCTTAGGACTGGTTCACCATCTAAGTATCATGTATGTAACATGGGCTGAAGGATCTCTAGAAGGTGAGAGCAGAGACTGGCATTTTGATGCAGGAGACTATGTGAATTGGAGAGCAGATTCCTGCCCAAATGAGCCATATGGCCTTCAACTTTGCAAGACAAGGTTTTACCTCCTATCAAATAAATGAGTCGCTTTACTTATTTCTTAAGTGTTTAAAAATTGTGCCTTGACTGGTGCCTGGGATTCTTCAGCATTGGAAAACCATGTCTAAACTGTAAGATGGAGGAACTCTCTAAGGCCAAATCAGTGCATGGCTCTTTTATCCTGAGGGCTATGCAAATTCAGTGGAAGCTTCTTGTTCAAAGGAGCCATATCATCCTTCTCTCCTGGTACGCCAACAACACAAAGTTTAAGTGCTTGTCTGAATGTTTTCCCATCAGTAAGTCTCCTCCGAACTTTAGAGTGAACAGAAATGACACCCTGGATAAACCTCATACTGTTAGCAGTAGTCCTCAGAGGTATTATTTTTCCCCTCCAAAAAGAAGCTTTTTATCCCCTTTTTTGTGTTTAGCTGCAGAACGTCTTATTGAACAATGTTTCTTTCTAGGTGTCCAGTCAGAGGTCCAGTTGGAGGAGTCTGGAGGGGATGTGAGAAGCCCTGGAGACTCCCTCCGTCTCTCCTGCCAAGCCTCTGGATTCACCTTCATCAGCTATGGCATGCACTGGGTGAGGCCATATCCGGGGAAAGGACTGGAATGGGTGGCAGTTATACCCTCCAGTTCCAGCACTATTTGTTACTCTGACAAAGTGACAGGATGCTTCACCATCTCCAGGGACAATGCCAAAAGCCAGCTGTATCTGCAAATGAACAACCTGAAACCAGAGGACATGGGACTCTATTACTGTGCTGGATACACAGTGAGAGGAAGTGAATCTGAAGCCAAGCAGAAACTCCCCGTTCCTTGGAGCAGCTTTGCAGGTTCATCCATGAACCACAGTTTCAACTGGTACACTGAAACTGTGAAGAATCATACAGAAAAAACACAAAAAGTTACTGTCCTGAAAAGAACACACAAATACATAAAAATCTGAAAGCCAAACAGAAAATCTCCTTTGTTCAGAGCTGCTATCCAGGTTGAGTCTTCCACAATTTGGATTTCTGCATTTCACGGATAATATAGGAGAATTCTCCCCAGGGCACCTTTAAGCTGGTGAGCAGGACACGTTGGCATTGAAAACGAAAAATGTCAGTTGAGGGAAAGAAAAGACTAAAGTGGGGTAGGGGAGAGGAGACAAATTTAATTTTAATCCCCAAAGCTATGTAAACTCAGGAGCAGTTTTCTGCTCAAATTAGGTATATATGCTTTAATTTTGGAAGACATTGTTTCATTATTCACTAGAGCTCCTTAAATCACCTGGGGGTCAACCATTTCTTACCAGGATCTCTTTCCCTCTTGCAATACAAGCATCCTTTGGACAACCCCTCTCATGATGCTATTTCTCGTGTTTCATTCTCCAAGGCAATATTGTCACCGAGAATAAATTGGCCATGAGGGAGGGGTAGGCCACGATATCCAGAGTTTCCAGATGGGGTTTTATGTGGAGGGCTATTTCCTTGAGTCCTTGGTTGAAAATTCCTAGAAATGGTCCAATGGCAGGTGAAGTTCTCTTGGGAGTACCATTTTCTCCATAATTCCAAGGGGAAATCTCTCCTGGGGCTTTTTCTTGAATAGAAAGCAAACTGAATATTTGAGATAACGCAAAATGATTTATATTTTTTGTCAGTCTCCTGAGAGAGCATGTGGTCATAATGTGATCTCCCCATTGATTTTCGGGAGACTCAAGAAGCCATCACTGAATTCCACCATACTAGACAACTTTCATCCATTCTCCCACCTCCTCTTTTTAGGGAAGGTGATGGAGAAGCTGGTGGCATTGCAGCTCCAGAGGATCCTGGAGGAAACGGATTATATGGACCGTTTTCAATCAGGTTTCAGGCCTGGATATGGGGCGGGAATGGCATTGGTCGCACTCACGGCTGGTTTCTGGCTAGAGTGGAATAGGGTACTGTATCCATCATTGCTCTTCTTGACCTCTCAGCGGCTTTCGATACCATCGGACATGGTATCCTTTTGGGTCAACTTGGGGAGTTCGAAGTGGGTGGCACAGTTTTGCACTGGTTCTCTTCCTTCCTCCAAAGCTGATCCAAATTGGTGTTGATTGGGGGCGAGAAATTCAGCTTTCTTTGTGGGGTGCCCCACCTCCTTTGTGGGGTGCCCCAGTGTTCGGTACTCTCTGTGCCCCTTTTTAACATCTACATGAAACCACTGGGTGAGATCATCACCACAGGATGAGGTAACATCAATATGCTGGTGATACCCAGTTATATATCTCCAACCTGGGTGAGTGATGCCATGACCACCCTTTCATGGTGCCTGGAGACTGTGGGTGTCTGGATGGGTACAACAGGCTTCAGCTGAACCCTGGTTAGA